AAACACTTGTTAGGCATTGAGAAGCTTATGATCTAGATAAAGGGTGGTAAACTCTCAACTATCATTGAACTAGCATTGATCTCTCTCTAAGCGATGAGACTATGTAGATTTTAGTCTTAGGGGCCGAATCGAACAATATGCTGTTATAAGGTTGTAGTCTTTCTACTTTAATTTAAGGGAGATTTTGAAAAATGCCCCATTTTAAGTTTTTGTTTGAAAACTACACTTTTTTTTTTTTAATTAAACTATAATTTTAATATGTAAAATGACAATTTTGTCCAAATTTAAAATAAAACTAAAATTCAAAATTTTGAAGAAAAAAAATAAACAAAATTCAAATTCATAATTATTTTTTTTAGCTATTTTTGATAAAGACAATTTATTTATTTTATAAATAAAAAATTGAACAAATAATATCAAAAAATATTCTAAGTGTATCACTTCATATTATTCACGTTATATAAAGAAATCAATCTAGCTCCAAACACATTCTTCACCTCTACACATCACCAAAGTTTTCTCTAATTGTAAGGTAAACTACTATGTGTTTTTATCAAAATATATGCATCATGTTTATAACGTTTTTGATGCTAACTTTTACCTTTGTATTTATTTGTGATTTGAACTTTAAGAATATTGTAATGAAATTCTAGTGTAACATCGTTGATGGAAGTATTTAACATATATACGTATGAAATTCTGCATGGTGCTCACCGGATGTGGTACTATACGTGTCTAACAATATTTACATGGACGTATATATGTTATCATGCTACAGAAAAGCTTTATATTAATCTTAATAACATATATATATACACATGGACGTATATTTTACGATGCTACCGAAAGCTCCTAATAGTTCTTACAGAATATAACTGGCTGGATTCATGGTTAAGGTAGACAGGTATATATTTTCGGAAAAAAATATATTCTTCTTTTGTATCAATAGTCATTTAAACACATGTATTGATTGATTGCAGAAATATAACTGTCAATTTGGGCACTATAAAAGCAGACAAACAATTTTTCTTGGAGCTCATTGACCCACAAACTTGGTTAAGTGAAGAATTAAGTAAATTGTAATTATTATTATTAATACTGAAAAATATTATCGTTTACGTAAACTAACTTATATATTTTCGGTGGCAACTGATGTTGATGAAATCTTCCTGGTGTTAAACATAAAACGTGTTCATTGGATTGCTTTGGATATATCGATTCTTCACCGACGCATTGATGTGTACGATAGTATTATTTCGATCTCTAGCGGTGAAGAGATTGAAGAGTTTGTGAAGCCATATGCACTTATGGTTCCATATCTTATCAAAGCTTTCGCTTCTCCTGCTGAACAAGATGAGTTAAATGATGCCGGTTACAAAATCAGAAGATGTGGAGAAATACCACAAAACAAAAAATCGGGTGATTGTGGAGTTTATGCTTTGACATATATAGAGTGTCTTGCGTTGGATGTAGATATGAAGATCGGACCATGTGATGCAAACATCAAGGATATTCAACAAAAGCTGGCAACCGGTATGTTTATGGAAGCTAACCATTGGGAGGATCTCTAGTTGATTACTGGTTTTGAAATTTTAGGTAAACTCTCTTTATCTTTTCTATTTATTAGTCTTTTTCTTGTTTTGGATTTGGTTTGAGCTTTGTTTTTTTCTTTCTTTTGAATTTGGTTTGAGCTATAATTTCTTTTATATTGGATTTTTTTCTTCACATTAATCTTCAATTTGTGAGCTTTCTTTACTTTATGTTATGATACGTTGCAATATATGTTAGGTTACTCTATGATACGTTCTGATATTGTTCTTTGTTAGACGTAGCCATTACAGTAGAGAAAGTTGATAAAGAAAGTTATTATATAATACATAGTTCTTTAATTGTTAGTTACATTAATGGATTTTTTCTGTTTTAAGTATAATTTTTTAAAATTATTCCTGAATTTTAATGAGGCTATTTTAGTAATTTTATATATTAAAATAGTTTTTAAAAGAGAAAAAAAGGATAGGATATTTTTCAAACAAGAACTTATAAACAGGGCATTTTTCCAAATTTTCTCTTAATTTAAAGTCTTTACAATTTTGTTTTACCCAATCAGGCTTTAACATATTAATAGTGTTAAGAGTACTCCTAAAATCTTAAAAGTCTAACCGCTCTTTTTTGCTCATGACATCATTTACTTTTAAAAAAGCCAACAAAACAAGACTTTAATTTTTTTTAAAAGTCACATCATTTTAGTTTAAAATAAAGTTCTTTACATCAACTTTGAAAATACAAGTCTCTTCCCATCATCCCCTAAAATTATGAATTAAACATTAAACATCCTAATATATCATAACCAACACCATAAATGAAACTACTCATTTATGGCCATTAGGTCATACACACAAAAATAAAGACACAAGAGAAATGTTTTATGTAGAATTCAGAAACCGGAGTGAGTTTTTGATTCCATCACATATTTGCTTGTGCTTGAACTCATTGATATCTCTCTTCTGACACATTACCAAACTTTGATAAGTTTGATAATTCTTCTCTATATTGCTTTGTTGACGCATTGCTTTAGGCTATATAATTCCTCGTCGGAAGTGTCCGATATTACTTTCTGCATATTCAATCGCCTAATTATAGAATAAAGTAATTAGTTGCATATAAAAGGATAATTTTTATATATATATATATATATATATATATATATAAAGTTTTGTTAAATTCTCAACTAAATTTTGGAAAGTAAAATTTTCTTATATTTTGGAGTTTGGACAAGAGAATAATATATGAACCATGTAAATATTATGTTATGTTTTTTAGGTTTTCACACGTCCTTGACAGATTTTTTAATTAAAATCCTATATATTTGATTTTTTAATCTTTTGATACAAAACATATTCTTCTATTTCTTTTTTTTTTTTTCTTTTTTTTCATCTCATATTCTTCTATTTCTTAGATTTTGTTAAAAGATATTCCACACGTACGGGTCCCCTCGTCAACTTGAGAAGATGGTCCCTAATCTCCTAGTTTCACTCTCTTACGTAAACAAACAACATTCCTTCCGAGTTAATGTCACTTCCTATGCAAAGCCCATGATCAACTTTAGCTAAAATTTGTTAATCAAGAAATTTGCTAAGTAATTAAAGCGATTAATTCATGGTTTCAAGGTGCTTTGTACCCAAAACTTCAAACAAGAGGCTGCTTAGTTACTACCGTTGCAACTGGCCGACAAGTGGCACCTTCTTTTTTGCATGACTTCTATACTTCTTTTTGTTGTTTTTTTTTTCGTCCAAAGTATTTATTTTATTATAATTTTGTACTATATTATTTACTTCACTTGTAAAGTTATAATAGTGATTTTGCATTTGGACCATTTAGTTTAACGCAACTTCTAATTCTTTTTATTGATTCTTTTTATGTCTACTTGATCAACGACACTTTGAACTGTTTGGCATGTGGTCACAAACTAATTTACATATATGCTACTGTATTTCTTTGGATTTTTACGTATTATGTTTGTTTACATTTTAAACCAAAACTATGATTTATTTAAAAATAATTCTGTTTTATTCAGCAAAGCTTTTGTCTCTACATTTTAATGCCGTGTACAATTATCTGCAGTTTTTCTTTTATGTAAACCTAGACAAGGTGGAAAAACTATCTTAAAAATTGCTTGTTCCTTTTTTTTTACTGTTTTTTTTTTACTTTGTAGAACTCTTCTCTTTGAATATTTTTTGGTAGACACATATCCTCCTGATTGAACTACTTATTACCAATAAGTTCCAGTCCACACATTTTGTCTTATAATTAAGTCCCAGTCCACACATTTATGGGACTGAAACTTACAAGACTAAGAGATTATAATTATATGTAGTTGTGTGATTTGTGAATATAATTTGTTTTAACTGCACTCAAAGTAAATAGTGCTTACAAATTGGTCTCGGCATTTCTCGATGCGTGAAATTTATCAATTTATTGTTTATCGTCCAAAAAATAAGCATGTTCAGTTTTAGGGGACACATCCTCTCAGCCGCTAATAGTCTTTTGTTTTTTTCCTTCTCGTTACACAAACTAATATGCATTTTTTTGGTGTTTGCAACAAAATATACACTCGTTTGATATTTCTATGTAAATAAATGCATGTTGTTGAATGCTCAATTGGTTCTCAAGAGGTACACCATATACACTAAATACTAGTGTTTGTATTGTGACGGTCTGTTGTTTTTGTAATTTGGCCGTTGTATTGTGACGGTCTGTTGTATTTGTTCAAATTTTATATGCATGGCCAAATTACAAAAATTTACGATGATAACAAAAAACAAAAAAAATCTTTCTAATTTTAAACACCACTGACCAACTATTCGACCGTAGAACTAGCTAGCAAGTCAACTTGGTTATCTTTGGATTGTAGTGAATTAAAGTGACGCCAAGTGGTAAGCAGGGAGGGTTGCACATGGCACACCGAGTCACCGACATTCTTAAGTCTTGGTGGGCGAGCAGGTCTTGGCCTTTTGGCTTCTCCGAAAAGAATAGATTTCGAGGGTTAGATTTTTTATTTTGTATATTTTTCTGTTGTTTTCTTTTTCCATTTCCTATTTTTATATATTAATATCCAAAATTCGCAAATAGTAACTGATCAAAGGAAAACACGAGATTAGAGCACAGAGAAACAAAATAAAAAATATTTTTCCTAACCTACAACTAGTTGAAAATAAAACATGCATTTTGATTTACATAATGGTCTTAACCCCGTTTGCTAATTACTAAATGCAAATTATTCGGAATATGTTGAGCTAAATTTGTTACCAAGTTCATCCATGACCTTATACTCGTCGGTTATTTTCAAAAAAGTCAAGTTCTCGGCTGAAGAACAAATTCAATCGTCCGGTCCGAATAATATTATAATTTGAATAATTTTGAAATATTTTTACTAATATAGTCAAATATTTTAAAACAATCTCAATGATTTATTTAACAACAAATAAAATACAAAATTTTGCTTATTCTATTTTTTAGATATTCGAATTTTAATAGACCAAAAAAGTTATCTAGATTAATTCAGGTAATTTATCTTGGGATTCCAACTTTTTGTTTATGGGGAGAACTAGTTAGGGATCGAGCTGTTGCTCCTGAAATCTCGATGCAATACAAAAGAAAAAAAATAGTTTATGCTTTTCTTGTTAATGTCGCAAAATCTTCTTTATAAACCCTTCCCGTTTTATCATTTGAGGTACATTTACGTATTCCCATTTTTGTTCCTATATATATGAGTCGAGTCTAAGTCTCGTAGAACATTTAAGTAATCAATATCGTAAGCTATAACTCTTTTGTTCCTTTTTGTTTTTCAGTTTTTTTACATCAACCCATTTTTTCTTGGGTTCTTGTTTTTGAAAAGTTTTTTAATCAAACATCATCTTCTTCTCAATTTTTGTTTTCAAATCTGAGGGATATATAAAAATGGTTGAACTCTTGTTTCTACTATCCTTTTTAGTGGAACTACAAAGTAATTGCTTTCATATGAATCTTGAGAGCATAAAAATGAAAGAAGGGGTCATGAGTTTTATTTCATTACTTTTTAAGAGACCAGTTTCATGGTTATCTTTTCTTGCCCTACCTCTTCTTCACATTGTAGGACTTGGGTTCTCACAAATCTTCCTAACCTCAGCTGCTTTGTTCTTCTCCTCTTTCTTCTTCCCTCTCTCAATCCAAAAACCAAACTCCAAGGTTCAAGATCATAGCCAACAAGACTCTTTAGGACAAAGTGAAGTACCTACGACCACTGATGATATTGTCAAAAATAATGACGAAGACGACGGGACAATCCCTGATGAGGAAAGTCTCATAGAGCTCTCCTTACCAAGTGGTCACTACATTGGCCACCACTACAGTACTATGATTGGTAAAAATGATCAAAGGATCATGTACAACAACATACCAGATTTCAGGCTTATTCAACTATCAGCCGAGTATGAAGACGATAATCTGATCGAAATCGACATTTCCATCGGATCCATCAAGTGTTCAAGGTTCCAGATCAAAGCCTGATACTGATACATCTTTATATCTTTTATGTCGGATATGTAAAGTAATATTTGCGGTTATTTTTGCACGTCACAAGTGCTCTATGCTTTTCTTTTTTTGTTCTAGATATCTCCATTCATGGGGTTTTTCTATTGTTAGACACAATACTCTTCCAATGTTTTAGAATTTCTTTATCTTGCGTACCACACTCTTTGCCTTTTTACTACTGAAATTTTGAACATATTACGTAATTAATTTGCATGACGTCACGCGGAATAGTATTTCTTTTTGTCTGATATTTGAAATATTTTAGGACCACTATTACTGTTTAAACTCGACTATGAAGTGAAGTCTAAGACACTCATATCATATGTGTGTAATATGAAGGAAAGAATGTCTAGATCATTCATCTTCCAATGTGAGAGTTAGCTAGAAATTTTAAATGAAAAAATAATAAATAAATTTAAGAATATGAATATATAAATCAATAATAATTAACATATATATATATATATATATTTAATTTAACATTATTAACATATATAATTTTTTAAAAATCAAGTAATTATATTTTGGCAAATTAGCTTTTTGATTCAAAGAAATAAATCTTGTGAACTCAAATCGGGTAAAACAATCGATTGGAACATGAACTTTAACAAAATAGAAGTGATACTTCAAGTCAGACACTAAATCAGATAAAAGCACAGTGAGATACTGAGATTGGTTCATAATTTGAACTATGAATCAGATTTTATGTTTCGATCAAAAGAGTTTGTATCCATAAGTCCCACCACAATTTGAATTATGAAGTTGATAAAATGAAAACGATCAAAACAAAAAGTTCACCATAGGCCACAACGAAAATGAATAAATGATCTTAAACAAAACCATCAATCAATATTGACTGCCAGAAGAACAGTTTTGTAGAATTGAGCGGGTAAGAATTTTGCAGCCTAACTTTTAAAGGTCGCACTTCGGTTCCCAGATGCCGGAAAAGCTTGACGCCGTTTTCCTTGACCAAACTCTGACTGCTCCGGTCCAGACCCCTTCTTCTTCTGACCTGCTGCAACTTCTTTCTTTCCTTGTCTTCCCTTGTGTCCTTCACCAAATTTCACCTCTTTCCTTGCAGCTTCATAATCAAACGGCTCTATGTTTAAAAACTCGGTCTGCTTTTGGGCCTTGTTGCTCTTTTTCATGGACTTAAAGCACTTCTGAAAGTTTGTGGACAACTCAGACAGAGACATTGGTTCATCTTCAGCCTCAACTTCTTTCTCATCACCATTTTCTAATAGTATAATATCGCCTGTCTTGGAGCCAAATACTTTGGACTCTGAAACTCTACCAGAAGTACCAACAATCTCTGAGGCTTCTTCTGAATCATCTTTCAACTCTGTCACACCATCTTCCTTGGAAACAGAGGCTTGCATAGTAGTGAACATCTCTTCAGGCTTCCCATAAACCTTCGGAGTTGTTTCAGTAGTTGACTTTGAGTCAGGAACTTTCTCTGTAAACGAATGGAATGACAGGTTTACAGATGATCTTATCTGTTCGAGCTTCACATCTTCCTTCACCTGAAAACATTTTTATCAATCATTCTGCAACCAAAACCAGCTATAGAGTTTTCATATATATAAACTCACCTTCTCATCAGTTCGAGATTTCTTCTTCGAGGCTGCACTTCCCAGCAATGCTCCTAAACCACTGCTCGGTTTCTTAGAAATCCTAACAGCCGCAGAAACCTATAATAAATAACAGATACGTCTTTGAGAGTCCAGCATGGATAATAAAGAGCACCAACCAAAAGAAATAACTAGGTGTCACCTTAGCAGAACCAAACAAGCCGGTGCCTAAACCGCTCCCTTCATTAGTATTTGCTGCATCCATATTTAGGTCCCTGGTACTCTCAAGCTGCGAAGAATTTTCCTTCAAACTTGGAGAAGCTACATCTACTGCGTGCATGTCTTTCTTCTCACTAATATGTTCAATATTCTTATCCATTACCTACAATTTAAGAAGGCCACATTTATAAATTAAAATAGACATGGAGAATACAGGAAAACAGTTGAAACCAATAAGTAGCACATGCACTCTGAATTTTAGTAATTAGGTGAGGTTTCAGAACTCAAAAATTGGATTCACAATCAGCCCTTGACATTAAATAATTCCAACTCTAGGCTCTGGTTTTCTTTGCAGGTTGAGTAGCAGAGGGTTGTAAGCTTATACACCTCAACCAAAAGCTTACAATTATGATTCAATATACAGAAAGGGACAAGAAAATAAATCAATAGAGATGTCTTACAGTTCCAGGAGACACATCTTTTAAAGATAAAGCGGCAGACTCAAATGCTGCAGAATTTTGCATTGATTGCCTGATGACACTGACCACCGAATCAACATTACGCTCGATATAAGGATGCTTTGACTTCAACATCCGACGCAATTTGCCAACACTAACAGGCATCTCCTTGGCTATTAGGATAGCAACATTAGACCACGTTAGGAATTGCCAAAACAAATTCACTCTCTGCCAGATGGTAAAATTGAACTCTCAGCTATACAAACCTATTTCAAGGAGAACTTTGTTTGGCAATACATAACCAGTGCTCTCATCCTCTGCACGTGCAATGAAATCCCTCCATTCGCAAAGCCCCTAAGAGAAAGTAAATTTTAAGTTAGCTCTATATAGTATAAGAAAAAGCAGAGTAAGTATGCATCATTCATTACATCACACAAGAACATCGTACCGCAACAATGGCAAGTTGAGCTGCATTAAAGCCCGCTGCTTGAAGCCTAACAAAATGCCAGGATGTGAAATATAATACTGGTTTATGTAACTTAGCTTAAGAGAAGCCAGCTAATGAAACAACAATATGATTAACAGGTTTTATCAATAAACGCATACACCTTGTCTGCTGAAATAAAACAAAACTTAAGTATGTAGACTCTCTCAAGAAAAAGCAACAAACCCATATACGTGAAGATATGAATTCTCGGTCAATAGCTCTTTCTCATATAGTTGTGTGCACACATCGTAACTCCGCTTGTAGACCTGTACGAAACAGTAAGACAAGATAGTAAAAATATTGGAGAAGAAAGAGCATATTCTTCCTGGGCCATATATCCACGGGATGTAACAATATCTAGACAAGCAAAGAAGTTAGCGAGTCAACGGAGCTGAATCACCACTTTTAGACACATATGAATGCCAATAACCACAATGAATATCCAAAATATGTGGTAGAATATACTTTTTTAACTATGCTTACAAAAGACAATTCAGCCAGAGAACTATTTTATGGATGACGGATGCCATTGAAAGTTATTCTTAAAAAGTATACAATAAGAACACTGAAATTCCAATTAGCCTAACATAACCCACCAATTATCTAGAACTGACCAGTTCCTTCCAAAGTCGCTCTTAAAAAACATAAGAATGTTGCAAATGTGGAGAATCACTTAGGTTAGGAAGCTAATATAATAAGAATACCGAAAATCTAGCCAACCTAAGTGATTGGTCACAAATCATTTTCCAAAAACAATGTTATGCCATCAAGTTTTTTAAGCCACACAAATTCCGACTTGGCCACTGAGGGAAACTAACAGAAAGATAGTAAGAACAAAGCACACAATCAAAGACAATAATACATCTACCATGCAAATACCAACATGCAGAGGAATATTATACTTGTCAGGATAGTTTAATGATGACTACCTGAAGCAGAGGAGAGTCAGTATGCTCGTCATCCTTTGCCATTCGTTCAAGTTCTAGTCTCATTACATCATATATGTATAAAAGATAGTGGGTATCTTCTCTTGCATATCTGCAGCGAAATCCAAAAATGTTAGCTCAAGTCAACTTAGGCCAGAACAGTAGTGAAGAGACACAGGACAGAAAAGATTGACCTTGTCATTTCCTCTGGAAGGGGTCGAATTCTCCAGTCTGCATTTTGGTATCTACAGCAATAAACAAAACAGAATTGAAAGACGAGTGACGGACAAGGGTGAAAAAAATCCAGATAGAACTAGTACTCACTCTTTATTTGCAGTAACTCCGCAAAAATGCTGCAAAAGAAACTCCAGGCTATTTCTCCCCAAATTTAGCACCCTAGAGGCCTGAAAGAATCAAAATGTTCCTACTTAGGGAAAAAATGCTAAATAATTAAAATTTCTTTCGTGTATGTGCTTCTTAGTCGCCACAATATGAGATTCAAAGCTTTTTAACTAATCCTATTGACTTGTGTCTTACAACACATATCAGAAGTTACTAAACTTCAGGAGATTGTTGAAATTATCTGCTAAAAGAACAAGTAAAAACCCAGCGTTGTGCAAATCGTTGCCAGTTATCCCTTTAATGGTATAATTAACTAAAACATTCTCAAAATAGCTTAGTTCAGTGTCCTTTGTAACGGAGAAAACTTCTACTTTTTCATTTCCAGGCATAGAGGTAACGAGAGGAAGAAAGCAGGATACTAAATTCAAAAGTAATACGTTGCCATCATTCTTCTTCCATAAAGCAAATGGTGTATGTTAAGAAAACTGGATCTCCTATGTTTTACAGGAAATATTATGGAAAAGAATAGGAAATCATCACTGAAACAAAATCAAACCTGTCCTGTGTCAAAGAGATTGCAGACATATATGCCGAAGTCCCGTTGAAGCCAGATAATATCTCGATCTGCTCCATGCATTATCTAATTAAATAAACAGATTTCAGAGTACAGAACATATATTTTAGACCTTTTGTAAAGGAAAATAAAGTATCCCAGGAAAAACCTTTTTCTTTTTAGGGTCTTTGAATATCTCCCTTAAATAAGGACCAATGTGAATACGAAGCTTAAATGTATCAACTATATAATCCTCTGTTCTGGTGGAAATTTGCATCAAGCATGTCAATCCTTGAAAAGATCGATACTGATTATGCTCCAGATCAACCTAAGCAGAGCAAAACGAAAAAACTTAAGAGAAGGGAGAGAATTTTAGGTAACGCAACAACAGAAACTTATATTGGTGGTTCAGTATTATTCTCAAGAAACTCTGTAAAAGTGTATGACCAAGTAACAATCCATTACATAATAATGATAGAATCATCACATTTCTTACTACTTCTACCAAGAGACATTATGATCAAACAATTCACTGCAGTCTGCACATTGGACTACTAAAGACAATCAGAAAAGAAATTTACCGCAAACTCTTCAACACCACGCAGTTTAGCAACTAATTCTTTTAGATCTTTCACTTCCTGAACAAACTTGAATGGAGTCTCTTCGAGTGGTAGGGGCTTAACAGGTTCCATCTCGTTTAAATC